CCCCCCCCGCCCAAGGTCAATGAGAGGAAGCCTCTCCATGGGGGTGCCCTGTGGATCCAAATGGGCACGCAGGGAACGGGCGAGCCTCCTCTGCCTCACGCTACAGGCGGCAGGGTACGTCCAAGCAGCGTGGAGAACGCCTGTCCTCGGGCAGCCACTGGTAGCAGGCCCACCAGCGGTACTCTGCTTGTGAATAAAAGCAGTTTAAAGAAACCCCCAGATATCCTCGATTGTTCCAGGTCATCCGGCAGACCTGCCGCCTTTGGGGCCACAGCGAGTTTGTGACCCCCCAGCAAAGGCAGCAGCAAGCTCCCCGCCAGCCTCCACACACAGCCTCGTCAAAGCCCTGGTAAGTCCTCCCAGCTGCCCAGCTAGGCTGCCTGCGTATGACTTCTTTCCTCTTCCAGAATGCTCTAAATGTTCATTTAACGTTTGCTTTACTCTATAAAAACATCGGGGAAAGGGCCCTGCATCCCAGATTGCCCTCTTCCCCAGCCCAGAACGCTCTATCTGCTCCCATTAAAAAAAGAATCAACAAGTCCCTTTAAATGAAAGTTTACTAATGTTAGGATTTCTGATAGCTTTCTGAACTGCCCATTTACTTTCTTTCTTGGGAATTCATTCTTCTGAATTCCAGTCTCAGAAACCCCCAAATCACAGAGAAAGAAGCATGCTGGCAGGATTAGGAAATCCTGGTTTCGGTTTTCCTCATCTGCAAAATGGGGTATTGATAATAATAACAGTAATGATAATAATTATTAGTACCCAATGTCCCATAGCTGTTTGTACTGAGGACCAAATCTGCCTGCCTGGTTTATCAGGTACAAAAATGTGGCTGAATGTCACTGACCAATGCTGTATAGGAAAAAACCCTCTGCTCCTAAGTTACTAACATGTACAGTGCCCAGGCCCTGTCACGTCTACAGGACACGTCTGTAGATAATGTCACAAGGGGCCCTGTGGGAGAACATGCAGGCTCTCTAAACGTCGCAAACCTCCCCACTTTTCCGTGTAGGCTCGGAAATCACTCCCCACTCACCACACTGTGTGGTTCAGGAATGCAGCTCGGTTCGTACTAACCATGCTTGTAATCCTTCACATTTATGTTTTTCTTGGCACATTTCCTCCTGTTCAGAAATTAACAAGCACCTCCAAGCTACAGAGGGCACTGTAACCATACTACACATAACTTACATGTGTATCCTGCTTTGCAGGGTTCAAAACCATCTCGTAAGATAAAGTCATTTCTGCAAAGGAATTGGAACAGTGCCTGGCACACAAAGCATCCACAGCATTAGGGTTAGCATCACCTCGTTCACTGTACAGTGACACCCCGAGGTATCTATTATTATTCCTGTTTTCCATCTGAAGAAACTGAGGCTTAGAGTGATTTGCTGAAAGGCCCCCTCAGTGGAAACAGTCGACAGGCATATAGTCCAAAAGTCTTTTTGGTTTTGTTTGCATTTAAAAAAAGTCAACTTTGGTGAGGTTTAATTTACCTTCAATAAAAAATGCACCCATTTTAAGCACAGATCAATGAGTTTTGCCGACTGTACAGACCCTTGTAACAGTCACCACAATCAAAGGTATAGAACTTTCCATCATCCAACCTCCCTAATTTCTTATACCTCTTGACAGTCAATCCCCATTGCCACCCCTGGTCCCAGGCAGCCACTGATCTGTTTTCTGTCGCTATACATAGAAAGGATCTTCTCTCCATTCACACGTAAGTGGGATCATACAAGAGCTCTTTCGTGTCTGCCTTCTTTTCACCCAGCATGTTTCCCAGAGCCCTCGTGTTGTTGTAGGTATTCCTGGTTTGCTTTTCATTGCTAAGTAATGTTCCACTGCATGGAGATACCATAACTTATTTATCCATTCACCTGTCAGTGGATGTTTGCTTTGTTTTCAGTTTTTGGTTATAATGAATAAAGGTGCTATAAACATTTGTGTACAAATCTTTGTATGGACATACAGTGTGAGTGCAGCTAGGGGTGCAATGGCTGGGTCACAGGGTAAGTACATGTTTCCTTTATAAGTTACGGCCAAGTTATTTTCCAAAGCGGTCATATCATCATTGTCTAATCTTTTTAATAAAATCCTGTGCTGTAGGGAAGACAGATACCATCTTTTTTTAACATGAGGGGACTAAGGCCAGAGGGATTGTGACCTGCTTTACATCACACAGGACAACAGCCTGCGGCCCCGCAGTACAGTGCCCTCCTACTACATGCCCACAGGTGACACTTCACTAGGAAGACTGAATTGGTGGTTGCTGCTGTCCTAAACCATCATGGACCCTTTGGCCAAAGAAATAACTCTGTCCTCCCTCATCTCCCTTTATCTACCCCATTGAGGCTGCCATGCCCAAGAGACATGATTCTTGCACAATTTCAAGTGTCTGGAGCTAACTTATTCATTAACTTATCAACTTATTCTTAATGCAGACAAGATTCAGGGATCTTATTCTTTTTGATTAAACAGTGCAGTGAGCAAAGGTTTTTAACTGCATTTCTAGCGATTGCAGGCGAGGGCCTGCTCTGTCAGTAGAATATAATTACGCCAGCTTTCTAATCATCTGCTCATTAATGCCAGCCTTGGTGAGGGGCCTGCTACTTGGTAGATAGGCTTTTTATGGCCTTTAATCTTGTTTTCCTAAGAGCACATAATGTCCTCACACAACAAAGAGAAACCAACCCCCCTTCCCCCAAACCCTTACCTTCTGAGGGTAACAATGTATAAATTACTAACCCATTTGGAAATGATGGCTTTCAATTATTTAAATTTGGTTGGAGGGCTGAGCTTCCCCAGTAATTTCAACGGTAAACTTTCACAGGCTAAGACACACATACGTGCATAAATTCGGGATGCTGGTGTGTAAACCTGGACGAGTCTCAAGCCTGGGCCTCCAATTATTCCACAGTATGAGTGTGGGTCTGTGGTGCAACTTTATGTGCATAAACCCCAAAAGAAAGACAGAGTCAGAGGGGGAGGAGGGGGGAGAGAGAAGAGAGAGGAGAGAGGAGAGAGGAGAGAGAGAGAGAGAGAGAGAGAGAGAGAGAGAGAGAAAAAGAGAGGGAAAGAGAAACCAAAATAGATGCTTCTATTTAGCTGGCATTAACCCAAGTTCCACCCCATGCAGATCTCCCTTTGCCGGATTCAGGCTGGCTGAGTAGAGGCCTCTGAACTCAGAGCTGCTTTACTTGGCTCCATCAGGGGAAGATGGGAACCTGTGATTTCCATTTGGGTTGTGAATTACCTTTAAGTGTGCCTAATGCTTAAAACCACAGATTCAATAAATCTGCACCATATTTCCCCTGGATTCAGCAGAAAACTAATATGACAATTTTTTACCCCAGCTCTTTTTTAAGGATCAAAGATTTTCTAAGAGAAGGAAAAAAAAAAAAAATCACTTTCATAGGCCTAGTGAGAAGCCAACATTTTTGTTCTCTTTGACAGTAGTTTCCTCTGCTTTCCCAGCCCAGAAGGTAGAGCACAATCCTGTCCTGCAAGAAGTTCCAGAAACTTTTGCTATTGTCCTCTACGTTGACTCACCCTTGGCTGAGAAGGAAGGCTAGGCTTTTCCCCAGTTTTACATCTAAAGGAGGGAAGCCCCAGAAAGCCAGGCACTGGGAATCTTTGGGTAAGCTGGGCCAGAGCCAGGCCCCTGAGTCCCCAGTACCAGCATGACTTTGGGAGCTGAAACCACCATGGGCCAGAAAAGCATGCGGAATCCCAGAGTGGAGGCTGGAGCCACATCCTACAGTTTCAAAGCTGGGGCAGGCTAGAGCTGGGCCACATCCATGGGCACAGAAAAGCAGCACCTCCACCTCCCTCCCGCATCCCTGGGTCCCTGAATGGGGAAGCCGGATTGTTTGTTTTTTTGCTGGAGAACACAATGAGAAACTTCTTTGAGATATCATTAGGGGCCCTGTTGCACTGTTGGATCAAACCCAAAAGCCATGAGGACGAAGCAAAGAAACCAATTAGAGAAGATCTCATTCCTTAAGAGAATATTAACTGTGCTTCTATACAGCTTATGGCCTGCTGATCTGAACTTCAGGTGTCCTAACCTTGGGATAGATGGATGGATTTAGGAACAACGGACCAATAACTGCACTTCCATTTTCTTCATTGCCACTCCAAGGCCACAGCTAATCCCTGGAGTCCAAGACCAAAAGGGCCGCTGGGAGTCTTCTCAGACTTGCCCATTTTAAATCCTTCTGTAATCCTCTCAGCACCCCGATCTGCACTGGGGGCACTTATTTTGAAGCATTCTTTCCCAAATATGTTTTTTTTTGCCCTTGGGTGTGTCATTCATTTAGTGCCTGTACTGTACCAAACACTATGCTAGATACTGAGGCGGAAGGTATGAACCACCATATGCTCCCACGGAGCCCAAAGCCCTCCTCCTTCCGCAGAAATGAGATCCCTTAGGGCAGGGATCAATCCTATCAATTTCTATTTCCCCCAGCAGGCCAGGTATAGGGTTATAGGCCCATAGTCCTTGCATGTTGATGGGCTGTACGGATTCAAGAAAATTGTCTTGGATCACCTGCAAATGGGAAGCCTTAATTGGGAACACAGTCAACTGAAATGCACTAGAACTGCCCTGTCCAGTATGGTAGCCACTAGCCAAGTGTGGCTGCTTAAATTTAATTAAAACTAAATTTAAAAAATTCAGGGCTTCCCTGGTGGCGCAGTGGTTGAGAGTCTGCCTGCCAATGCAGAGTACATGGGTTCGTGCCCCGGTCCGGGAAGATCCCACATGCCGCGGAGCGGCTGGGCCCGTGAGCCATGGCCGCTGAGCCTGCGGTTCCAGAGCCTGTGCTCCGCAACGTAAGAGGCCATAACGGTGAGAGGTCCACGTACAGCAAAAATAAAAATAAAAAATAAAGTACACAATTCAATGGTTTTTAGTATATTCGCAGACTTGTGCAACCAACACCAGAACCAATTTCCCCCAAAAAAAAAAAAAAAAAAAATTCAGTTCCTCAGTTGCACTAGACGTATTTAATATACAGCATAGCTCACATACGGACTACGCAGATGAAGATCTTACATTTCCATTGTAGAAAGTTCTATTGGACAGCCCTGTTCTAGAATCCTTTCATAATTCAGGTTTTCTTTCAAGCTGCAAGGCCCAATTTCCACACGCCATTACTGGGTTGCCTGGACAGCCTTCCCCAACTGAGTTCTCTTGATTCAGCAAGCAAGCTCTTGGGAAACCAGGGCCCGCCTCAACACGTCTATTAGGTTGGTATCGTGCACCCTCTACCTCTGTCTAGACCAATGCTCCCCCATCCTTCAAGGTCCAGCTCAAGCGCCCTGCCTTCTCTTTTCCTGAACTCTCTCGGCCCTCTTCTTTGAATGGATGTACATGTTTCTATAGCGCATAACCCAAGTTGATTACATGCTGTCTTGTATTACACTCTACGGGGCCGTTGCATAAGGTTAAGCAGACTGTTCGCTGCATCAGTGTGCTCAGTGAGGTGGTAAGTAGGGACTGAGATTCAGCCCACCTTCCACTCTCCAGGCTGTATGCCTTGGTGTGTTTGTGTGTCCCCTACCAAAAGTGCCCTTTTCCTGATTTGCATGAGCATGTCACACAGGATGGTGGCAGCCTTGGTTCTCTAACCATCCTGAGGGCATGAGTCTTGTCTGCCACACAAGATGATGGCGCTTCTGTGAAGGAAGCAACTGGATCTTCTTCTTTCTCACCAGTCACGCCCCACTCAAGGCCAGATTCCACAGACATATAGGGCGCTCCTGGTACTTACAGTTCTGGTGACTTTTGGTCATGTTCTCTGAGTCCAGTGCATGGTAGAACTCGTAGGCTGAGCGGCCAAGCAGCTCTTCAGGGTGGTAACCAACCAGTTCTGTGATTCTAAATTTTTTTTTAAAAAGCAAGGGGGAAGAGAAAGACCATATGACTATGAGCAGGGGCTCAAGGACCTTTATGTAGAAGGTAATTCAAATGCACACATTCAATGAAACGCACTCCGAATGTCCCGGTCGTACCATTCATCCAAGCAAAAGAAAAAACCAACAACAAACATGGTGGTCAACCTGCAACTATGGGCCTACTGAACCTCCACTCTTCCTGCCCTTCCTGGATTGTGTCTGGGGAGGGAGGAAAAGCACCTGTTCCGGGGCTCCCTACCTCCCACCCCCAAAAAGACACATGTGCCTTGCTCCAGTGACCACTGGAAGGGACTCTCATTGCCCCCTACCCACAGTTTTTGCAGACAAGGGAGCAGAGATGCAGAGAGGGTAGACAGTTTGCTTGATGTCTACACAAGTGTCCGGGGACAGAGCAAGAACGAAAATGGGAACATCCTGACTATTCCAGATTATTCTAGTAGAGGGCGATATAAATGAAAAGTGAAAATTATGTGGTCCCAAGTTGGGAAAAGCATGGAGGCGGCCTCTGCATGTGTGTTAACCACGGACTGAGGAGGGACCCAGGCAGGCAGAGCCCCGTCTGTGCTTAAACCTTCTCCCCCTCGGGTCCTGTCTGGTGACCTCAGATACCTCCTAGACATCAGGTTTGCCTTCATGGGTTCTACCCGTCCTTCCTATCTCAAGGAAAGGAGGGAGGGCAGGAGGTGCCGACAGGAACAGATACAAAATCACAGTCCTAGAAATGTGCCTCGTCGTTACACTCTGATAAATAGGCAGCTTCCGTGTAGGGTGTCTGCCTTAGATGGGAGGTGGGCAGAGAAAAGGCAAATGTGGAGAACCGTGAAGAATCACTTAACTCTCTGAGGACCCTCTGCTCTGTGCTGAAATCTTTAAAATAAACAAAGCCCTGCCCAAGAACCACCAGGTTAACTGCTTTCAACCACGTCATACCTAAACATTATTTCTCATCATCTTTGGTATCTCACATTTTTTCTAACGGGCTCACTGTCTTGTTTACTTAGCCTATCACGAGCGAGAAGTGATGCTATGTCCTCATCATTACAAGCTCTATTTTGGAATACATGACTCCAGGGGCACAGCCCTGTCACCTGTCCACGCTGGAGAGGAACAGTGTGGAGAGGAAAGCAGAAGCCGTGGCTCCTTGGTCTCCTGTCTCTACTCCTCTCTCCCGCTCCATACGGGTTTTGCACAGGTCAGACGAAATCATCCTAAAATATTATTTCCATTCTGTCACCCCTCTACGTAAGCATCTCCAGCTTACCTAGGACCAACCACATCCAGAGTAAATAAACTCCACCTAACTTCTAAGCCTCCAGGGTCTTGTCTCCATCTTCCAAGCAGTCTGATTTGCAGCTGATCGGCAGCATGGCAGGTCCCCGCTCCCCGGTAGACCCCTCTTCTCGCAGTTCCCACCCCTGGCAAACCCACGCTTGCTGCAGAGCCTTGAGGCCTTCTCTTCTTGGAGCCCTGACGATGACAGGGCCAGCTCAAGGTCTCGCCTTGTCCCTGGAGCTTTCTCCAGGTTTCCCCTTCTCATCAAGTCCTAACAGGCAAACACATTGTCACAAGGAGTTATGTATGCTTCTCCCCACATCCTAGGCTGCCAACCCCTGAGCTCAGGGACCACATTCTCCTTTGGCCGCCGCTACAACGGGTGCTCAATAAATGCTAGAGTAGCTGACCAATGGACTGATAGTCTTTGGGGGCCTAAGGTACAATCAGAGCCCTGTCTAGCCCAGCACTGCTAAGGAACCCGGGCACTAATGGCCCACTTTTCTTCCTAGAGCATGGTCACCTGTCTCAGTGCATGATGGTGCACACACACAGCCTTCAGCGCAGCCCTCATGGTGCTCAATCCATCCTTTCTCCATTCCGTAAGGTGTGTCTGGTGTTGAAGTGGGCAGAGAAGAGGCAAATTCTCTGCCTAGGTGAGACTTGGGGGTTAAAGCCTTTGTCAAACAACGGGCAACACAACAGAGCTGAGAAGCTTAGGTCTCAGTTGATTTAGCCCAGCGGAGATTTCTCCAGTGAGATTCCAGCAGCTCACCTGCATCAGCCAGTTGGTCTCAGACCAGGAGGATCTGTCCCCTCACTTGGCCCTGAGCAGAGAGGTCTCTGAACTCATCAGCAACAGACATGTTCCTCGGTGGCCTACCTCCAGGGCCGGCATTCATGGCACCTTAGCCAAGGTAGAGATTCAGGGAGAACAAGGAGACGGCCGCACAGTGCTGGCCCTTCGTTTCCTACACCCACGTAGCTTTTCTGATGGGTCCCATGCCTTTCAGCCTTAGCCTGGGAATCAGAATTGCACCGGTGGGCTGTGCTGACAACGGGCTGGCCAGTTACAGGCTCACCAATGTCCCAGATAAACTACTACTGTTTCTGAACTAGGTCTAGAGTTTCCTAGAGACCCTCAAAAATGAGGCTGGTTCTGGGAAAGATCTGACTCTACTCCATGAAGAGATTACACTTTCTTTCAAGATTAGAATCTTTTAAAATGCTCAAAGTAAATGTTTATTATAATCAGCCTCAAATAAAATATTTCTTAATCTAATTAATGTACCATCCATTCAGAGGCACACAATGGGCATGTTTTGGAAGTGGACAAACAAACCTCGATTTCAGAATTGCCAGCTCTCTTCCCAGTAGCAGCCTTCATTTATCTTGTCAACTAAAATAAATATTTAACGTCTCCTCCTTCATGCCTTTAAACAGACGACTATAAAAACTGGGAAATACACATACCCCAAACACAATTGAAGAACATTCGACTGGTCAGACTTCACAAAACCAGGAAACCCCAACTCAAAGCTAATGGTCGTTGCCCTCAATCTGCAGGCATGCCGACGCCAGCAGGGAGGCTAACGAACCCGGTTTGTTTATAGGGTTGGCCTCCACGGCACACAAGGGCCCTCCCTGCTCATTTCCCTCTGTCCCAGGGAAGCCTCGGGAGCTGGGCTGTGATAACACCATTTCATCTGCTCTCTTCACCAGGGGCAGGGGAACTTTTTTTTTTTTCTTTCTTTCTAATTAAGGGGCCCTGACTCTCTGGAGAAAAAAAAAAATCAGTTTGGGGTCACCCATAAATTTCAAAAGTCAGCTCAGTAGTGCTGTTCTCTTTGTAAAGGGGAAGAAAATATAAAAGGACTTAATTCAGCAGACTTCAGAAATGAGAAGCACAGAGGTCCCTGTTTAATAATAAAGTAGGAAAAGAACCAGATCAAGGATGAGGTGAGGAGAGAAATGTAGACATTGACAGGCAGCCCCAGGAGGCAGAGGAAGAAGTAAGAAAGAAAAAAAGAGACCAGAGAACTTTCAGGTTAAAATCTGAAGTTACTGTTGCCCCAAGGAAATAAGTGGGTCAGACAGCTGGGCCCTTGGATTTCAGAGTCAGGTCTGCCTCACAATGTAAAATGACAGTTACCGCTCATCCACTGCTCTTTACCCTTAAAAATGTTGCGAGGCCCTTTTCAACATGGACTACCTGTGGCTGAGCGCTAGGAAGAAATGGACTCTCCGGCTGGGCTGCTGGGCTGCAGTGTCAGTGCCGTGTGGCCTCCTAGGCAGAAGGAATGCAGCTCAGGCCTCAGCCGGCTCCATCACACGCCCGCCCACGAGGGACGAGGCAGCAAGCTCCCTACATCACACGCCAAGCCTGGAGTCAGACAAGGTCTGGCTGCAGTTTTTACCCCGGTTCCCTACGAGTACAGGATTCACTCAGTAAACTAATCGTGGACGGTTAGAGAGCATTTAAACTATGTGAGAGGATAAAAGTTGTAAGTACTTCCTAACCACCTATTTGTTTTCCAAAGAATGCATTTGCTAATAAAACCATCCTTTTATTAAGGTCTGCTTTCTCTCTCCTTCCTGCCTTCTGGCAATGCCCTCTCCTAGGCAACACTTGACTCACCTCATTTTGGTTTCTGTATGTGCTTTTAGCTTTGAAACTGCATTTCCCCAATAATACCCAAACTATTCACTAACACAGATTTCAATGATATTTGTTTTAATATATTTCTATCCAGATTTTCTTGGCTTTAAACAGCAATACTTTTGCCTTGTGTTTTCCTTCAGTAGTACACGGTTAAGTGAATCTCTATACAACCAGCTCCACAGTTAATGGATAATGAATTTCCATCCTATCAGTGTTATGTGTTACAGTTGGGGTGAATTTACTCATAGTATACATAGGAGGGTAGCCCTGGCTCAATCCTGGACTGACCCTGAGTGCCACCAAATGCCACAGCTGCCTTTCGTTACCTTGAAACCCACAAGCAAGAAGGGGAAATTTGCCTTGAATTGTAGCGGGAGAGAAGCAGATCACGCAGAGGAATAATTTTTGAATTGTGAGGTCTGTTACACTTTGAAATAAATTCCAAAAAGGATTTGTAGAGCTGCTTCTTCCAAGGAGTATTTCAAGCAGATTCGACAGGAGTATTTCAAGCAGACAGGAGTATTTCAAGCAGATTCGACAAGCATTTCTCATAAATATGTTCAAACTTTCTTAGGGCTGATTTCAGAACATCGTCGTTTGGAGGAGACACAGATGCACAAGGAGAGCATTTAAAGTTTCTTCTAACTCAGGGATTTAAAGAAATACACTATACCATCTTACATAAGATAGGTAAAGAAAGACTACTGTGTATGTCTGCAAAAATATTTAGAATACACTAAATATGAAACTAAAAATGACATGTAATATATCAGTCTGAAAGACCACTTTGAATTAAAGATGCCACCTATCCTCTAAAAAAAAAGTAAAATAATTTGTTAAATGTATCTCAGTACACAATGAAAGTATATAATCTTTTACTATTAGTTTGCCCGAAGTCAGTCTATGTTCTTCTCAGACTTTAACACTATTGCTTTTTCAGGTGTTTTGATGTGCGTGTGTTTTACAACTCATGGCTCTCTATGATTTTATTGACAGCCTCTTTACAGTCCTCAACTGTCTCCTCCCTTTTATCATCATCACTCTTACCAACTTCTTCGTATAAAAAGAATTCATCACAGATTTGATCCACAGAATCTGAAATGCAGGCATCTTATCGAACTGTAACTCCTGATATTACATCCTACGCTGCCTTAACCCAATGACAAAACAGGGTTGCCCTCAAATTCTTTATCTGTAAAAATTACAGGACCCTCTTTGTTAATTTGAAAATGTTACTGTTATCATAACTTTTCCACCAGTGATACTTCTCTCATCCACATAATTTGCTTTTATAAGTTATTTCTAACGTACAGGAAGACTCATAAAACACACGAAATCACAGTGGGATTATATGCATTATCGATTTTGCCCCACTCTCCTTGATGGCTTGGCTTCTTTCAGTTATTCTCTTTCTCCACTAGATGGCGCCTCCACGTGAATTTAAGAACCACCCCATTTTATTTTTTTAATTTTAATTTTAATTTATTTTTTGGCTGCATTGGGTCTTCGTTGCTGCGTGCGGGCTTTCTCTATTTGCGATGAGCGGGGGCTACTCTTTGTTGTGGTGCGCGGGCTTCTCACCGCGGTGGCTTCTCTTGTTGTGGAGCATGGGCTCCAGGCACACAGGCTTCAGTAGTTGCAGCATGCGGGCTCAGTAGTTGCAGCACACGGGCCCTAGAGCGCACGGGCTTCAGTAGTTGTGGCGCATGGGCTCAGTGGTTGTGGTGCACAGACTCAGTAGTTGTGGCTCACAGGCTCTAGAGCGCAGGCTCAGTAGCTGTGGCACATGGGCTTGGTTGCTCTGCAGCATGTGGGATCTTCCCGGACCAGGGATTGAACCTGTGTCCCCTGCATTGGTAGGCCGATTCTTAACCGCTGTGCCACCAGGGAAGTCCCAGAACCACCCCCATTTTAAAGTTAAACTACTTGAGAACAATTTTTGTCTTCCTTTTGGGTGAATGGTTCATTAAGTTGCTCATGTCTCAAACTCCAAACTCTTGGAGATCAGGAATCATCTCTTTTCTTCTTTGATATAATTAGTCTCTGGCACTGGGTTAGATATATAGCAGATGCTCAATAAATAACAGTTCATTAATTGGCTGCTCATTTTAGGAGACAGAGTATAACACCTCTATTTGAATCGTAAATGGAGACGAGATCATCCATTACACTGATAATCAGCATATTCTTCTTTAAACCTGCTACTCAACTTTACTCCCCCTATCTAGAGCAATCGACTGTATATACACATAAGTGTGACTGACATATAAATTGTTACAGAATTCACTTCTAACAATATTTGCTGTTTCAGATCATTAATACAGGACTTGACATGGTCCTCTGACCCTTTGTTAAGAGAAGCAGGATGAATGCATTTTGAATCATCTGCATTCCTTTATTCAACTTCAGATGTTTCAGAATAAGTTGTTTCAGGTTCAGTTGATTTGGGAAACCTGAGACACACAAGATGACTCTTTTCTATTTTATTTGTCGCTCCCCCCTTTCCTCTCTGTTCTCCCCTTTTTCTCCATGAACCTTCTCTTTTTCTGTTTGTTTATGTCTATGGTCTCAATACATCTAAGAAAAAGTACCAAACAGCCTCAAAAGTGATTTTGTGGGTTCTACTTGCCTTACATTTTCATCAGATTCTTCCTAAATTTCCCATTGGGAAAATAATCCCCTTTATGGGAAATCGCAGCCCCTCACGTGTGCCAGATGTCATTAAATCTAGTGAATTCCCTGATTAAAATGCAATGCCCCCCACCCCACCCCGCTATGATATGTAAGTGTTGGTTTTTGAAGCATTGATCTTGGAAGAGGTGTGTGTGTGTGTGTGTGTGTGTGTGTGTGTGTGTGTGTGTGTGTGTGTGTGTGAGAGAGAGAGAGAGAGAGAGAGAGAGAGAGAGAGAGCAAGAGAGTATGAATATGTGTATATCCTTCCCCATCCCAATACAAAAAGTGTAAACAAGACAAGCTACCAAAACCAATAAATCCTAGTCTTCATCAAGGCAATTGAGAAATAACACACAGGTATTAAGGACTTAAAATAGTCACTTTATAAACTGTCTAAGCCATGTCTGTGCCCTTGTTAACTAATCCGTTAAACACAACTTCTGTGTGGCACAGCATCCCGTGTCTTTAGATGCCTCTGCATCCATCTTTCCAGCACCTCTGAATTCAGAGTCTGGGCCATGTAATTAGGTTTCTTGAAAGGCAGGATTCTGCTGAAAGTGCACTGTGTCTAGCAAACCTTATAAGCAATATCACCCTCCACACCCTGAGTCACAAAGCCCTAAATCACAGGTTCCGTCAAGCCAGGATCGACTCTGCCTACCAGCCCTGAACCAAACCAAGAAGTCAGTGCAGGGCCCCTCCCCTTTCTGGGAAGAGGGCCTCCTCCACTCTTAAGCACCCAACTGCTCATGTTATTGTCCCCTCTTCCTTTTACCCAAAGGTTAGATGCTTTCAAGAAATGACCTGAAATTCATTCAAAACAAGATAATGAATGAGGGATAACTTCAAATTACCCTTTCCAGAGGATTTTTTTCCCTTCACATTAACAAGGATCAAAGTCTTAAGTTAAAAAAAAAAAAAATCCTTCTTTTCTGTTATCTAGGGATGAGGAGTTATTTTCTAGGACAGTAGGGTGTTCCCAGTGCTTCTGGGGTCACATTAGGGCTGTGCTTCACACGCAGCTTTCACTGTCTGCACTGCTCCAGCCGCTCTAAGGCTAAGGCATGCGGAGCACCGCACCACCCCACCCCACCTCGAAGCTGGAGACATGCGGGCTACGCAGCAGGACTTCTCTTGTCTCAGAAGATTACGGAGAGGGATGCACACTACAAAACTGTATCTTCTGCCCAGGATGGTTCTTGGAATACAAAGACTACCTCTGAGAAATAACCTTACACACAGCGTGGATTTCTCAGGTGCCTGCCTCTGGAATAATCTAATTATCCTTGTATCACAATAATGACAATAGGAACAGTCATGATAAACCGCTGACTGTGTCAAAGTTTCAGGACACAAGTCTTCACACGTGACATTTTCTCCCTATGAGGTTAGAGCGCTTCTTTCTACATCTGGAACTACGCACCACCCTCCAAGAGCCCTGAATCCAGCACTATGGGGACAGGAGTGACTCAAGGACACTTTTACAAAAGTTCTTAAACCTGGTGCAGCACCGGCCAACACCAGGTCAGTCTAGAATCAGGGGAGAGAAACCCAGCTGAGCCTGGAACGTAGGGCTGCACCCATGAAGAAATCCAGACACCCATGGGACATGCAGCAGAAGAGAGAAAGGTGGGCAGGCCTGGGGGCCGCTGAGCAGGAGCTCTGTCCTGGGGCCTTTGGCTTCCTGCTGGCTGGGAAGGTGAGGCAGTTTCCTGCTGGCGGTCTCTCCTTCTTCCAGGCCCCCAGCCTCTACGTGCCTCCAGAAGTGGTCTTGGCCCCTTGAGTTTCGTGGGGAGACTAGCTTTGGGGGAGGGCAAAAACAGGGAGCAAGACATCAGCAG